GGGGGGGGGGGGGGTGTCACCTCCAGTGCAACATTTCCTACATTTGAATGTTTAGAAGTTGGAATATCTGAGGCTTTACCCATTCTGAGTTTTCAGAAACTTTACTATTTTTTTGTAGCCAAGCCAATGCAACTGTACACCATTAACTTCCATATAGTACAAGGTTTTTATTCAAGCAGCATGTCAGATTCTGTACCATTCTGTGTTTGCTATAACATGTCTTCAAGGGACCTTACTAACATCTTCCCATAATAACACACTTGAAATCTGTGTGTGTGTTGGTACTTGAAATAATTGTTTAGGGTGGCTAAACATTCAATGGCTCTGCTCTTTGTATATTGACCCATTCCTGCTAGTTTGATTTATGAATAGCCAACTTACCTAGGCCATTGAAACACAAAATTTATTCAAAAAAATATGAATATGATAATTTCGTGTTTAAAGTCTCCAACTCGTGGTCATCTCATCGTCATGATTACATTATGCTATATAATTATATATAATTAGTACACTGAAAGATAATCTTTGACTAGTTTCTAAATACAGGTAGTGTATCAATAATGTTTCCATGCACAGAGCCAATATTTTGATAACACCAATGGCACATCCCATTTGAAGGGCTTGATACAGAGTTCATATCAATATGCTTTGAATGCTTTTAAAGTGAAATTTGTTTGCCAATTACTAAATGTATATTTCCAACTACACCATCATTCTTAGTAACTGCCTTTAAACTTACTAACAGCCTAGCGAACACAAAATGTTTGCAAATGCTGTTCTTAGGTATGTCACAAAATAACATTTAAACAATGTTGTAGGAATGTTCAATTATTATGACGTACAGGGAGTTGTTCATACTTAATGATTCTACAAAATAACATTTTTGCACCAAGCTATAATGTTATTATATTACGTTTTTATAACATAATATTGTTAGCTGGGAGTATGAGGATCCTAAGTAAGCACTCTGCATTCCATTCCACTATTTTACCTTGTTATTGATCACATAGATCTTAACTTGTGCACCTCGGAGTAATTTCTTAAGCTGGAAACTTGTAAATCTGTCTATGTCTGATAAAATATAATACTGTCTATACCTCCATAGATAAACTTTCAAAACTCAAGGCATACCTTACGTTAAGTAGGAACCAGATAGGAACATACATAATCGGCAATTCCTAGTGATTCTCACCAAATAAATTTTTTGATAAAATTCTTTTACTCTTGTAGGTTGGTTCTTTTTCCTAAGATAATATGGGTGACCAAGCAGAAGCAGATGAACGAGCCCGCCGACGGGAAGAAAGGAGGAAAAAGAGAATGCAACAGGATCAGGAAGCTCAGCAGTAAGTAATCATGCATATTAAAATGCAAGTAGGTTTTTAGCAAATTTTTTGAGAGAGCAAAGTTTAGGAGGATGTCTTATTTATTGGTCACCTATAGTGAAAGTAATAATCATTGTTGAAGTTCATATTAATCTTTCTAATCATCTTTCAAAAAATTATAGATATTTGTTATCATTGGATTACTCCGGACTTAATTTTGAGTATTCTGTAGATGATGGTATTATTAGAGATAGAATTTTAATCTTTGTTTTTTGGTTTTCTTTGCATTGTTTGTCCATAAATAAGAAGTTACACCTAGCTAGTATAAAGAGAATAACTTATCAGAAGCATAAACATATATTATATCTCAATCATTTCCTTGTTTTTTATGTGATATGCTAATACACTTTTTTTTTTTTATAAGAACCAGTAAAATTTTGCCCAGGCTCAGTGTTCTTATTTTTTGGCCGATTTCAGGCTCAAAATGTTCTTATTTTGTTCTTAGTTTACACACCTTTTAAACAATAAAATATTTAATTGTACGGCAGTATGCACTGTACTGGAATGTAGGTGAAAGTGACCCCGCAAAAAATTGCCCCCAAGTCAGATAGGTACACCTGTACTGTATTATAGAGGGTATTACAGTCACACCTACTGCACATAATGTACAGATATAATATTTTGGTTTTTAAAAATATAAACCTCATTTGAAATTTTACCTTAGCCTCAATTTGTCCTTATTTTGTTCTTAATTTTTAAGCAATTTCAGCCTCAGTGTTCTTATAAAATGTGTTCTTATAAAAAAATAAGGTGTATTACATCAGACCATGCCAATGAATACGGACTACATTATGTAGCCTAGAGGGATACTGTGTCAAACACAATATTCTATCACCATCTTGGTGTGCCACTGAAAATGGCAGTCTAGGGTTAGGCAATTGACCTCCACAGTATGTTAACCATGCAAAGATTGGAATGTAGTCAGGTCTGTATAGATGGACAACAAATGGACAAGATAGCCAGCATTACATGTATGTAGTTACTCCATTTACAGAGTGTCTGCACCTGCTGCCAAACTCAGATTTTGGAGTTTTTGTGTAATATGCGCGAAAACTCCAAAATCAAAGTTTCAAAACTTGTAATCAATCTTTCGATTTCGGAATTTTTGCGTACTACTGTATTAATTAAACAAGAGAGCAAAACTTTTAATCAACCCCCTGATTTTGGAGTTTTTTGTGTACTATTAAAACAAGCTCTCTTGATATAGAAATGAGCAAAACTTTTTGCGTAATAAATGTAAAAACTCCAAAATTGGAGTTTCAAACCTTTAAATCAACCCTCCGATTTTGGAGTTTTTGCGTATACTGTACACTTAAATCCGGTGCAAATACTCGAATTCCAGAAGTTTTGCGTCCTAAAACTTATTACTTATTAAAAGTTTTGCTCTATATAGGGAGACGCAAAACCTCCAAAATTGTAGTATTCGCGTCAGGTGCAGAAACTTCAATTTTTTAGTTTTTTCGCGTTAGTACGCAATAACCCCAAAATCTGAGGTTTGGCGGCAGGCACAAACATTCCGATTTCAGAGCAACTTCTACATCATCTTTGGTTTAAAATTATCTAGACACAGATATTTTAATAAAGATTAAAAGAGTACAATTATTGGCTTATTTACTGATATTTTAAGTTCTGAAAAACCTTAAATTTATTAACGGGAAATTTAATGTAATTAAGGGTCTATGCAAACAATATAGGGGTTGCCATCCCAAAACCAGCATTAGTATCAAAACAAAAAATTTGAATGAGATACAGATTTCTGAATATTTAAAAACTGCGGGAAAAAGGGCATAACTTCTCCTTTTTACACCTTTCCCCCAGGTTTTAAATGTTCAAAAATCTGTATCTCATTCCTGTTCACTAGATATTCGTCAAACAACTTTTTTCTGTCTTACAAAAATCAGTTCTACAACGTATCAAAATTGACTGGAATTGACTAAACAACTATTGCAAAAGCTATGAGTAAAAATATTATAACTTCTATGTACTAAAGAATATAATACTGGCACATTCTATGCTAATATACTCAGTTTAACAATTAGCAAACAGTATGCTGGTTTTGAGATGGCAAGCCTTTACAGTAGAGGAACAGTGTAATTTATTCAGTTAAAACTGGTGAGATATTATTCTCATTCAATTGAAAGTAATTGAAGTAGCTTACTCAAAGCAGGGAGTTCTCTGCCCAAAGTAAACAAAGTTTGACATAGTTGGATATAGACTGCAGTGTATTTTGAATATTACAGCAAGAGATCAAAGGCTATTTAAGATGATGTGGTGAAGGGGTGGTTAAGCTCAGGAAAGTGCAGGGAACTAGCTAGGGAAATGAGGTGATTTTTAAATACTTACAAAGAAAGTTTTCGTTGGGGGAAAGTGCCTGTGCAGGAACACAATCTTTTTTCGGGAAATGCACACCATGCCCCATTTCTCCTCCTTATATATACCACTATGAATTACAGAAGTTCTGGTAATATTTTTTCCGTTTCAAACAATAAAGTTTACTAAAAATCTTTTCTTAATAGTTGGTAATTGAAACCAGTTAAAAATGGTAATGATGTTGTACACTGTAAATTTAATAATAAACTATTAATAGACTATTAATACATTAAAGTAATTTATGCCACCTAGCATAAAATACCGTATTTATTCAAATAAACGACCCGCGGCTTTCATTGTTGAGAAGGGTTTATGAGGGGGGAATTTATTATTTGGTGTAAAATGGATACTGTATTACTCAAATAAATGCTCCTTAATATCACTGATAAATGAAGAACTGGAGCAACGTCCCACAACCAACTCTTTTTTGGACCTTAAAAACAATATCTAAATGATGGGACTTAATTACAATGTGTTATTGAAAGTGATTCTCCTGGAATAGCATGTTATCAGAATGGTTGAGGATGACGTTGCTTCCATTAGCTTTGTTTAGTCATTTAAGGGAGCGTTTATTCCTGAAAAAGGTAAACTCCTACAGGGGAGCGTTTATACAAAGCGTTTATTTGAATATTTTAAGCCAGGCACACACTGTGTCGCTTGACCGTCAGCTGACGAATCTAACCCCGCTCCCTGCAGTTTGTGGCATTCACCATAAGAATCATATTGGCCGATGACCGTCAGGCGCAGTTATAATTGCCCGGCTTTTCGTGGCAGGCTGTATGTTGAATCTCTAATTTTGAACACATTAATACATGTCTTGATGTAAATATCCTGAACTCTCTATACTATGATTGGTCTTTATTTTATAATATGCCAGCATGACTGTTGGAATGATACAGTATTTGACCCCAGTTTATAGGACTATTTTTGGATTGTTATAATTAACATGTTTGATTAACCTTTTGTGTATAATATAAAGTTTTTATTTCTTGCAGATTGTTTCATTGACTGCATGGTGTTTTTTATATGTACGGTTTGATTGTGTTATTAACTGTTTGGTTGCACGTTTGTTGTTATTTTATCTGTGTAGACTTAACAGTAAATCTTTTGAGGACGACATGGAAGCAATGCGTAAACGTAGAGAGGAACGACGACGACAAAGGGAGTTGTACGTGCATGGTTATAATTTACTTTTTACTTTTGTTTATTAACAGTGACAATGTTTTCATTGTGTTTTGTAGCGTAAACTGTGATTGATGGGTGTAAGTTTATTATTATTAAAATATGATTCAAGGAAAAACTATATTATTTTTATAATTTTTGCTATTTAATAATAATTATTTGAATAAACAAAAAAAATTATATTAAATATAAGGGGGAGGGGGGAACAGAAATTGTGAGGGGACGTGGCTGGCTTCCATTTTTATATTGTTGTATCCAATCCACTAAAAATTCATTCTTCCTTTAAAGCTAGTTTATCATCTTCAGTATCTTTGGTGGGTGATGTGAACTATGGCAGTTGTTTGGGTCTCCGGATTATCTCCACCTCAGTAAGGGTGCCAGTGAAGTTGGGGGGAGGGGGATAGTCTTGGGGTGTCAAACATCTATTTATATTAGATTTATTACTCAATGAACATATTGTAATCTTAGCTCCAACCATGGTTTAATGAACATGTTTCGGCTACATTCTGTTTTTTTTAAACAAATTTGTTTCTGTAAATATCTATGTGTTTACTATGCAATCTACAGTAGATCAGAGCATGCCTTCAAATTAATCTACATTGTTTCTTGGATGAGTTAACTGTGTTTTTAATTTGATAATCCTAAAAGACCAAAATTCAGTGAGCAATACTTAAGGAAATTCTTCAAAAAATGAGAGCAATTAATTTAATATTCTTAATCAAGCAAACTGATTGAAAATTCAAAGTTCAACCAACCGATTTCCCAACGAGTTGTCAAAGACCCCAACAGTGGTCTCTTTTTGAGAGGTCAGAGTTCCATGACAGGGGTCCACACCAATCACACATCTATATGCTTGGAAATGGCACTCTCAGAGCATGCTCAGGCTCAGATCACGGTGATTCTTCCCCCTGCCCCCCCCCCCCACTCGACACTCGATGTCTGCTGGTGCCGCCACCATATAAAATATCAAGGTTTATGACTATCACTCACTATTTCTTACAGCTTTCAGTTTTGAGTATCAATTCAATAGAATTATTGTCATTAAGTCTGTATAGTAATGTTACTGAGATACTGGTTTTAAAGTATGCCAGCTATGCCAGGCATGTGGATAGAAAGATCTAGTAAGGGTTGGTCAGGTAGACACTTAAATACAGATGTACGTAGTATGGTAACCATACATGAACGATGGAAATAATTGGGTTAATTGATGAGTCGTTTTGAGGTTCTTTTTAGATAAAATTGAGGAGTTATAAATTTTGTATAATCACATATTTTTATGAGCTACTAGTTTGCTCAGGAAACTTTTCAATTGATGAATTTATCAAATGTTAGACAAATTCCTTTTAAAAGTGATGCATTTGGGTTTCTGGCAAAAAATAATGATTATTTGGGCAATTACAAAGAATAGAAATAGTTATCTATAGAAACAAATTGAACCACTAAAATACAGTGGAATATCCAGAAATTTGAAAAGGTGGGTGGTGAATATATTACATCCACTGAACATAACGCAGCATGCAAAACTACGAATGGAGCATCACGATGGCTATGACTACACCACAAATTGGCTGTTATCCTCTTAAATACTCTTAGGCGAGACATTTTTTATACCTTGTCAATGTTTAGCGAACCCGCTGCCCGCCAATAATGATTTTGACTAAAAACAAAATTTTATTTATCAGCAAATTAGCACACCCGCCGATATTTCTTCCTAATTATAAATTTAAAGCATTTAACCATCCCATTACTACACTGTTTACATTCAACAATAAAATTTTATTTTTATTTTTTCCTCCATCTGCATGTTTTTGGCAAAACCATTTGCTAAATAAGAAAACAAAATTTAAAAATTAAAATTTAATTTAAAATTTAAAATTTTAATTTAATTTTTTTCCCGCTCTCCTCTGACGATCTTTAAAAAGATTAGTTTGCTATAAAACAAAGTATAAAAAAAGTCTCGCATTACATTTCTATTTATTCCCATTAATTTACTATTGGAACTTTCTTCATGTTTGAACAAAAAAAAGGGGGGGGGAGAGGTGAGGGGGAGGAGGTGCTCAGGAACCTCATCAATGATACACCAGTGTAGAGGTGTTTGTTACCATTATTATTATTTGCAAGAATATCTATAAAAAAAAATATTAATTATCATGAATATATTACATTTAAAGAAAATTTAGGAATGATTTTTTAATCAATAACATTTGAAAACAGAAAATGTAATTTTTACTCAAAGGGCAGCAGTAGAGAATGGCCCTACAGATGAGGAACTTGCACGAGAAAGGAGAAAAGAGAGGAGGGCGGCCAGGCAACGTGGAGACGCACCAGAGGAAGAGGTTAGTTATTAAAATTATTATTACAGTAGCTATTGAGTGTATCTAATTTACATCTTTTATGTTGGTCAAGTATATTGGAAAAGTAAATTAAAATCTCAATTTTAAAAGCATTTTGATTCAACTTCCAAACAGGTAACATAAAAAAAAAGAAAATATTTTAAAAGATTAAAAAATGAACCATATAAATTAGTGGGAATCAATTTGCTTTGAAATTGAGAATTTTAATAGGCTATCTTTTGCTGCTGGTAATTCCTTCTTGCAAAATGAATACCGTACTGGTGATTATATCCTCTAATATTTCTGATGTCAGTTAACAGTGTATGTAACTGTACCATGAACAACTGTGACCGCAAAAGTGAAACCATTACCATTACTCCCTGAACAGTCAGTCTTTCTGTATTATTCTATGGGTTAACATTCAATCTAGGAGAGTATAGGGATAAAGGAGAATAGCTGATTGATATGACTTGACAGCTGGCAAAATATACATAGCCAGAGATAGCAGGCCAGTGCATTGGAAGAATGTTGCAGACCTAGATGTTGTTACAGACCTACTATAGGCCTGTGACAAAGTCACTGCAAATATGTGCACTGTTTAGCAAGGGTCTCCAGTGATCATTAACATAATTTGTCACTTAATGCCAAGGCTATGATTTCAGTTATACCTGAGCTTACTTCATCAATGGTTGTAGATGGTCACAACATAGATGACTTATTTAATACTATTTAAAAATGAATAATAACAATAAATAATAAGTTTATATTTTTGTTAATGAAAATCCAATAATTCTATTTTAATACCTATATTTTATAATAATGTATATTAATGTTAACTGATGAATGTTTCATTTCTTATTTAGTTAATCTATATATGTTGGATACCATATAATAATTTTATTAAAAAGTAAATAATTATATTCTATTGATATAACAATTTAATTAGAGATCCCTAATTTTATTTAAAATAATATAAAATTGTTAATTTTATACAGTATATTGATAATCAATCAATTATTTGTTTGTTTATTAATTGTTTTATTAAAAAGTAAATAATTATATTCTATTGATATAACAATTTAATTAGAGATCCCTAATTTTATTTAAAATAATATAAAATTGTTAATTTTATACAGTATATTGATAATCAATCAATTATTTAAATATATACACACACAATATAAACCAAAGGGACTTGAGAGATTAGTCAATATGAGCACAATTAAATTGAAGTACTGTAGTGACATATATATTGGTAAATCACCATACTTGTAGTAGCCCCTCCTTGCCTCATCACCATCCATCTGTTTGCTGTTAATCAGCCATACATTTTAAATCCCATCAGTCAGATAAAATGTACTTGGTTTCTGTGACCCAACCTATGACTTTACAAGTGTTTGAAATGTGAACCACTGGCCAGGCACTTCAGTTGGCTAGACATCTAAATGTTAAATCATTTAAAACAAAAATACAGTAACTCTGAACATGGAGGTATATACTTCCATGCTCTGAACTAATCTCTTTGTTTTATTTAAAACTGTGGATCCTGTGGTTAAATAATTTGTTACTATAGTAAATGTATCTTTATTAGGATGCAACCATATAGCTCCATAATGCAACTGTGATATTTATATTGTATATTTTTTATTAAATTTTAAATACAGGTTTTCAAGTTTTTCACTTTTTATCCAATTTGTTTTCTATAAAATTTGTGCATGATTTCCTATCACATTTATATTTTCTTCTTTACTATTGGTAAACTATATTCCGGTTTGCCATCTGTTTAGTCAACATACGTATCCCGCCGCCGCAGACGAGAGGAAAGAGAGGAAAACAACAATGAAGCTGCGAAAGAAGCGGAGGTAACAGTCCAGGAGCTCGCCTAATCCTATGGTGGTAGCCTTCTGCTTTCATGTTGTCTTGCAAGCTGCTTTCTTAGCCTACGCCGTGCATTAAACTAACAACTAACTACACAGCTATCCTTATGTCTTCAGGCATAATTTCCACAGTATAGTCTTAATAGTCCTATCACTGTTTTCAGAAATTATCATCCTAACAGACAACCGAAAAGAAATCAATGCTTATGTTTATATTTAGTTCTATTTCCAACAGGATTTTTTCCTTTTTTGCTTTAAATTTTCATTTTTGATTATTTTTTTCTGGAAATTAGTTTACATTTTTTTCGATTACAAATATTATAGCTCAGTGAGTAAAATGAAGATGAAACGTTGGGGAAAAAAAAAACACAATTGATAAAAAAACAATTTGAAATTACTGTATGTAATTCCCAGAAAAGAAAAACAATTCAATTGAAATAACACTATAACAGGCCAATTTGCCAATATTAAAGTGGTAAATGTATGGAAAAATATGCAAATTTAAGTTATGTAAATGAGAATGATGATTTACTGAAGAACAGACTGTTATTTTAAGTTAAGCTCTGTCAAATCACTATCAAATTTTCTTTGACAATAAACTGTTGTATGCCCATACTTGGTCATGATGTGTCTATATATGGTCATGATGTGTCTATATATGGTCATGATGTGATGTCAACATGAACATATTTGGGCATATCGCATGTCTTTGTCAAATAAAATTTGGAAGTCTAGACGGCTTAATACCTCACCATTTGAAAATACCAGCTCAATTCAACCACTCCTAAAAACAATAATATGGAAAAGTACGCCAAATGAAGGCATTTAAATTGGAAAAGCAATTGATACTAAAATTGATTTCAAAGGAAAAACAGCTGTAATAGTTGTATATTTATGTATTAACGTCTATCATTATTTATCAAATCAACGTATGCTTTTCACGTCATATTTTTGTGTAATGATATCTGTTACTCTTTCATTTTCATTCATGTTATCTCTTTCTTTCTACCTTAACTTCTTTGTTCTTTCCTCTCTATTTTCTTGCTGATAAAATCATCTGAGTTTCATGTCTAGAATATGTTGTTTTTCTTCCAACATAATCAGTGCTACAAGGAAGTATATTATTTAATGTATTTAACTGATTACAACTATTTTAAATATGCTGGCTGAATGTCAGCCACTGGCACCCCTGGCTTCGATACAACTTGTTTACATTCGTATTTACATGGCTACATAACATTATTTGGAAGATGGCCAACTTGTAAAATAGGTCAGCTGTCAGAAAAATCAATAAATCATTACAAACCGATAAAAAATATAGAAGACATATGAACTGTGTTACTTTGTATTCCTCTAGAATTATATATTTTTTATTTATAACATATTATTTCTCATTAATCCTCTATAAAAAAAGATATTTTTTAACTATTCAATATATAACTTAGAAGTAGAGCCTTAGCAATACTCATCAAAAATTTCGTTTGGTTTACTTATATTAACTTATTGTATAAAAAACAAATTATTAAATTATTAGTATAGTATTGTAATAGTAATATTAATCATAATTAATATATTTTTAAGCTTTGATAATCATGAAATATATTATGAAATATATATTGGATCAGCTCCTAAAAGGGCCAATATTTCATGTTTTTTATTTCTATATAATAGTTTCTATTACAATCATTATCTGTTTTTTGTGAAAATATCTAACACTTTATATCAAGTATTTATTTTATTATTTGTTTATGTTTTTTTTATTTAATATTATCATTCATGTTTGACAAAAATTTAATACTAAATTATATGAGCTATAACATTATAGTTATTTTTTTATACTTTTGTTTACATATAGAATCATTTGTCTCCTTACTTTAGGGGAGCATTAGTACTCAATTATATTGGTTAGTTGTACGATTTTTTAGTGGCTGTTATGAATATTCATGAGCATAGTTAACTTATTATGCGTAGTTTCAGCGAATGAAAGTAGCTGCCACCTTGTCAGGAGAATGACAATAAACAAAATGCAACATATGCACAAATGCCAGTTACCTAGATTAGATATTTTAGCAAATGAGGTATTCAAAATATATTCAATCATCACTTGCAAATTTTTTCTTGAATTTCCTGTTAACCTGAAGCCCAAAGCAGAAGAAACGCCCAAGATAGAAACACAGGAGCAAGAGGTGGTGGAAAATGGCGAGGCAACTGCAGAGGAGACAATGAGTAACCAGGTGGAGGTGGAGGAGGTACCAGTTAACGATGTTCCCATCACTTGATCCTATCACTTTCGCACCTGCTTGTGTCACCTATCACCCTTCACCTTTAGCTTACGTTTCACCCCCTCATTTCTATCTCTCTCACTACTATTCATTTTGATGATAACAAATTAACAATCAGGAGGAGGTATCATTATAGAGGTCTATTCCTTCGCCAATAAAAAAAAATCATTAATTTCCTTCACCTAGATATAACAAAAGTTTTTTCTTTACTGTAACATTATTGTGTAGTCTATTTTTAGTGAACCCATTTGTGTACATTTAGTTTAGCCATGGTGTAGCTGTTAAGATCATAAATCACCAAGTATTTTAAATTACAATCAATAGGGATAATAATTAGGGGTCTTCTTAAATTAAATGAAAATGTGATGCTTTATAAACTATGTCTCATTGTGAGGAATGCAGATATTTATAGTCCTGGGATTTGGACCTAGAAACCTTGGAATGGATGGCAAGCATCTTACCAACCAAGCCATATCTCCACTACGATAGACCTATAGATAGTCATATCTAGTACCATTATAGTCTAGATATTTCTGGAATAAACAGATGGATACAAAAGTAGGTGTAAATATATACATAGTACGCTAGACTGAATGACATATGTACTTCAAGCAACAGCCAGTTTGGATCCCTCCAAATGCTCTGTCTGTAAATGGTCGTTTGAAGCAATTATTTGACCCAGAAGACATCCAGTGGATACTATCTATTCACTCAGTCTGGAATGTGGAGATGTACATATTTCTGTCAGTGGAATGTGTAGCGTTAGCCAATCAGTAACTCCTGTGTAGCAACCATAGGCCTATACCGTAACACACCTCTTAATATTGTGTCCTACTTATCTAATATTTTATAGGAATTTGGGCATAAACATGTACCAAGGTTTCCTTGGTATAATTTCATCTTCATTATAAGAACACCCACCCCCCACTCACCCCCTCACCCACCAATCCTAGTATAGTTCAGTAACTTCAGTAGCAAAATGCCCAACTCTAGTTTCATAGAAAACCGAAAGGTCCACTGATTAATCTCAGATAAGATAGTATAATACATACTCCAAGTATCGAAATGCACGCTATCGTGTCGGGATTCAATATTTTGATATTATGTCATCATCAGGAATGAAAATAGGTTTTGCAATAAATTATGTGAGTCTTTAATATAATATGAAAAAAAATTATACAAATATGAAATAACTTGCATTGCACCCACTACTATTTACAGGGACGTACCGTTGGGGGGGGGGGGGGGGGTCGATGGGTGCGGTCGACCCCCCCCTTTTAAAGAAAGTGCCCTTTAAATATGCTCGCTTCACTCACAAATAACGCACCCCGCGAATTCTGAAAGCTTTGCTAAATTGCTCCGAGTTCAGCTTGCCCCCCTGTGCTTTCGTTTCGACCCCCCTTAGATTTTTCAGCGTACACCTCTGATTTACCTACATTCTAATCTCCATGTACAAGCTCGACCCAATTTTGTGTTCTAGGGGTGGATTTATACTGAAATCAAGGAACTAGGGTACAATGTAACATATACTGGAAATATAATTATAAGACAAGTCAGTATTTAATACATCTTCCGTTCTCTACCACAGCAATAATTTATCTTTGACCAACATAACAGCATCATCTTTCCATCTGTAGTCCTTTCATCATCCCAAATCATTTGGTGTAATGATGTAAATTACATTATTTCATTAATCTTGTATTTCTAACTCTTCAGGATGCACATTTTTCCAACCATGCTGGACCAAGTGGATGGATGGATGCATTACTTACTTTACAAAAATCATGCACTTTCAATATATATCTTTTTCATATTTTTAATGTGTTTGCCAAGTTAGGGCTGGAAGTTTAGACAGTTTTACAAATTTCCTGAAATACTGTATTAGCAAAATCAGTTTCAAAAATACCCAATATCTATGCAATCTGATTGATTACAGAAAATCGTAGTATAGAATTGAATTGTATAAAAAAAGTGACACACCACCATATTCAATATAAAAGTAAAAACACCAAAAAATGTTAAATTTGTTAGCGACTGAACAAATGATAGTTATATCTGGATAAACAAACCTAATTATCATCATATCTGGATAAACAAACCTGATTATCATCATATCTGGATAAACAAACCTGATTATCATCATAATTGGGTAAACAAACCTTGGAAGCCTTGACTTAGTAATCATTTTGTGTACAACATTTGTTTTTTATTTTTAATATTTTATTATTTATTTCAACATTTACTAGTACTAATTAGAAACTTAGATTTTACTAATGGGTTACTTTTATCTTGTTGCAGCCAGCAGTAAATGGGATTGTTGTAAGTATGCATGTTTTTACTTAAGTAGTTTAGAGTTAGTTGATCAAATTATCTTAATTATCATGATTAATTACTTTATATTGACAAAAGTTGTTTACTGATCTGTAGGAGGATGACACTCAGAAGCATCAGGAGGAAGAAGAACGCCAACGACAGGAGGAACAACAACGTCAAGAAGAGGAAAGGCAACGCCAAACTGAAGAGGAGGAGAGGCGACGCCAGGCTGAAGAGGAGGAGAGACAACGGCAGGCAGAGGAGGAGGAAAGGCGAAGGCAAGCGGCAGCAGAAGAGCAAGAACGAAAGAGGCAACAGGTAAGAAAGATTTTGACTATGGTAGTATTAGTAGTGATTATGTAATAATGTGATGGTGATAGTTAAGGTGATGATCATATGTTGTTGATATTGATAAGTGATGGTGATGATGCACAAACAATGATAAAGATAACATCAATGATAATTATAAATACTTACACTGTTTATGCAATGATACAATAGTACTGTAATTGATATTATAATAACATTAAATGAAATCTCATTACAGTAATTATTCTTGTCAATATTAGAGATATTTTTTCTGAATTAGGGCCTACTGACTTGTTTTTTCTGAAAAAGTATTGTAACAGCCAACATCTAATGGCCCTCATGACAAAATATTATAAAATGTATTTATTAAATACTTTCAGAAACAAGCAGAAGAGGAACGGAAGCGAAAGGAGGCCGAGGCAAAGAAAGCAGAGGCAAAGAAAGCTGAGGCAAAGAAAGCTGAGGAAGAAAGTAAAAAAGAAGTAAGGAGACTTATGTTATTTTAACACTATTTAAGTTGTATGATGATGTCATCACACCCATATATGGGCAAAGGTAATATCTGGAAAATACTGAATTGCTTATATACTGTACTGTAGTACTCATAAGGATCAACTATAATATTAATACTATATATATATAAACACAGTTCACAACAAAAAACACTTAATTTAAAGATATATGAATTTAAGTATACGAATGAAAGGAATAATATTATTTCTGAATCATAATTTGGGAGAGAAATTTTTCTAGTCCATGATTATATTTTGAAAGCTAAAAAGTTGCATAAATATAGTTACAAAAAATGTATTTTAAATATTAAATTTTATTGTTATTTTAGCCCACCACAGTCAGTGTTTGTGATATTATGTAATTAAATGTATTACAATATGAATAATACACGTCACTAACATCATTACTGTACTATTATGAATCTTTTTTCAGCCAACAGAAAAAAAGGCAGCAGCACCCAAAAAGAAATCAAGTCTTTTAGGAAAACTGGGTGGAGGCAAGAAGAAGGGCGGACTCAAGGTAGGTCTCATTTTAATAGATCTGTGAAGTTCAAAAAATTACAGGCAGTTCAACATTTTGTGCCTATGGCTAAAAAAGTGTATACTCTAAAATGAGTGCCCAAAGGTAACCTTCCAGATCCACTTTTAATGGTGTCTGCCTCTACAGGGTCTTCTTGAGTCTAAATAATTTTCACTTTGTGGTGTGTCTGCAGTATCTATCCCTTAAGAATCTACATTTGCGGAATTTCTACCTAATTTTACTAGAGACAAATATAAACTAGTTTCAAAAGATTTTAATAAAAACTTCTGTTTTTCCAAAGGCTATGTTGTTGAACAAAGCAAAACAGGACTTGAAGAAAGAGGCGGCTGAAAAAGAACAGGCAAAATTAAACTATATAGCTTCAAATGTCACCCCAATACAAACAGAAGGTTTGACTGAGGATGAGCTAATGGATTTGTGCAAATCTTTGTATCAGGACATTCTTAAAGTTGAAGGAGATATATTTGATATCGAAATTCTCATCCGTAGACAAGATTGGGAGGTAGAGTATAGTTATTCATTATTGTGATCTGCAGTGTTTTGTAACCAGACTGAGAAATATAACTTGTTTACTCATGGAAAATTGAATTTAAGCTCTGTCCACACTGTCAAATTTGATGTGACAAATAAATGTGACATGCACATATTTTGGTGTATTATGACATCATGCCCACATATGGGCACATCATACAAGTTTGCCAGACTAAGAAAAGTAACTTGTTAACTTTTGGGGAGTTCACTTTAAGCTCTGGCCACACTGTCAAATTTGATGTGACAAATAAATGTGACATGCACATATTTTGAGTGTAATATGACAACATCCTGCTCATATATGGGCATATCATACAAGTTTGCCAGACTGAGAAAAGTAACTTCTTAAGTGGGGGGGAGTTTACTTTAAGCTCTGGCCACACTGTCAAATTTGATGTGACAAATAAATGTGACATGCTGTAATATGATGACATCATGCCCATATATGGGCACATAAAATTTGATACAGTATCATGAACAAAGCTTTATAGGGAATTCTGACAACTGCCAAACTTTGAATATAAATTAAACTCTACTGATACAGTATTTCAAAGACAATTAATAATGATTAGCTTTTAACTAAAACATTTTATGCCCATAACTCCATTTTTTGTGCTTGTTTTTTAGATTGCTGAACTGCAAGGCCAAGCCAATGAAGCAAAAGGAAAATTGTGAGTTTGTTATTATTAATTATTTTTTGAAACATATACGTTCTTATATACCAACCATCCAGTGTAATGCCTCTCTTGACCCTTAAACTTTGAAAAATATATTAAGGGATGGTCGCAGAATTTGTTTGGGTATAAACCCTACATCTTGCTTTTAGGAACACAACATTGAAAAAAAAATTGAACATTTATTTATAATCCCTTGCCATCAGTGATATTAATGTGTGGTTGAGATAATGAACTGCTGTATGCCAGAGTCAGTACTTTGATGTGGATATCCCCTATATTTTATGTGGCGGCACCACGATGGAGAAATGTAATTATGCTCAATAAAAATATTAACAGCAGATTTTGTAACTTTGATATATGTATTTGTACTTTGACAGCATTAAACCAAAACTGAAAAAGGTTGAAAAGCAACAACAAAAGCAACAACAAGAAAGCCAAAATGATCAAATGAGAAGTGGAATCCTGTCCTTGAAACATACAGGACCAGCCTTGTAATCAACAGATGATCAGCTCAAAATGAAGTAAGTTTATCCTTTCAAAAACTGCTAAAACTACAACAAAAAATGTTTATTTAATTAGGCTACAAAATATTAATTTGCTCATGCACAGTGACATTTTGGAAATCAGTATCGGTCAATCAGTTCTATATTTACTTGCCTAACCATTACTCATCTCAGACATTGGTTGGTAATATTTTAACAACTAGAATACATAGCCAGGTATTGTATTTATTATTTAAAGCTTGAAAAGTGGCCTTTAAAAAAGTATTTTGGGCACCTTCTTGGTTAAAATGATCTTATCAAAATAGAGTAATGGCAAAAAGGTAAAAAGAAAAAAACCGACTATATTTTTGAAATTTTGTGTCAGTCAGGCTTAAGCAACGCAGAGGGTTTCTTTGTCCTCAAGTTTAGAGTTCAAGCAAGCCATAAATGATATAAATATCCAGAATTTATACTTTATGGTGTAGATACCATTTCTATTGGTAATATGCTATAGTTCTTAACTGCATTATATACATTGATCTTAGTTCGGTATACTGCATTACAGACTCGTTCGAGATTTCAAAGTAGGAGGATATATAAACTTTTTTTTTTTTTGTTTACTCTTTTTCAGGTGACAAGACAGATTCCAAAAATACTTTAGGGCAGATGCTGGCATATTTTTATCGTAACATCAATCAAAGTCCAGCCGTGCTCATCGTTGCGCAGTTAGGCACGTATCTTTAAGATATCGGACTGATGAACACTTATTATATCAAAGTGGGTACAAGAGTAGAATAGGCTCTTTAATATTAGTCAAAGTATAAATAAAAACTAATAGATTCTGCCTCTTTTTTTATGATTTTCAACAAAAAAATGTTATTACTGAATATCAATCGGTGCAAGATTTATAGCAAGCTTTGGGTCCTTATGTGGTTCCACATGATTCAATAATAGTATTGTAGATAGGTGCAGTGTTATAATATGGTTTGAATACAAAAATGCAGAATAAACTCCAGGCTAATATTTTTTACCTGTTTAAGCAGGAAACAAACTGTACTTGACCAGATCACCGTAGAGGCTATGCCATACATTTGTTGTGTAAGGTTTAGTTTGTTTATGAAAAGTTTTTTAAATACATCTTTTTTTTTCTCCTAAAATGGATATTTTTTTAGAAATAAAAATTCAAATACTTTATTTAAAAGTGAGATGTGAACATGTTTTAAGTATTTTAAATTTCAAGATTAAATTACCAGAATTTGAGAAAAATTAATATGAATTTAGTTACATTTATACAATTAGTGTTATTCTCATCAGAATTCTTTGGTAATTATAAATTAACTTTAGAAATTTAAATGGGAAAAGCATGGGTGTAAAGATGTTTGGTGTTACTTTACCAAATTTAGATATGAAATTATAATAACTGTACAAAAAAACTGACTCCATCCTGTTTGTAATTCCTGATGTATTGGGGGTCAAATTAGTTTTATCGGTTGTTGGTGAAAAGCAATTTTATAGATAGTATTACATCCCTTGCACATGTATTTAAAACAATTGCAAATATCTTGGTACTGTAGGAGATGTGAAGTATTAAGTAGATTATCCCCATGACTAATCCCAAGCTAATCCAAGTAAGTATAATCCAATACATCCTTAAAATATGTACATTCAATTCAAAGGAAAGTTGCTGCCCCGGCTCTGTTTTGAAGTATGTGCTCAAAGAAATAGGCGCATCAAAGCAGTACATAAAATAATTATTTGAAATGTAAACAAGATAATTACAGCAACTTTCCTTTTGTTGACTTTAATCATTAGTAGAAAAGCAAGTACTGCTTCAAGTATTGTATTGATAATTGCCAAGTAGATATCAAAACTAAGTTCTATAAGCTTGAGGTGCTAATTACATATTTTCTTTATGGTTTTTGTTTAGAAGATAATAAATGTCTTTTGTTTTCTTTTTAAAGTTTTTAAATTTCTATGTTGCCTTGTGGTAATAGTCTTTCGTATAAATATAAATTAAAATTGTTTAATGTGAAGGATCTGAAGGAAAATGCATGAGACAGTGGCTCATAATAATTTCATTTTCTGTTGTAAAAAAACTTGAAAAATCCCCAAAAATATACTTAGATACCAATTCGTTGTTTGTGCCTAACTGTGTAGGTAGAAGTAAAAAACAACTTTTTTGAGAAAGTTATATAACATTGTACAGTGTTGAGAAAGTTAATGCATGCATTGTAGTTTATATTTTACATTTTTATAGATTACAGTACAGTATAGTAAAAAAATTGTATCACAAATTGTGAAATGGACATCAATAATGAAAACTCGTAATACAGTAGTACATATTCTCTATGCATTATTTTGATTATCAATATTTATTTATCAAAACATTTCTTATAAATTTGATTTTCAAAAAATCTACAATGCAAGTGAATGTGGCCTTGACCTGCCGTCTGGGCCTGGGATGCACCTCAGTTCCTGGGTGATCGCTATCATGCCCAAGATATGACAGGTGGGGTAAACCAGAGATATCTTTATGAGTAAATAAAGGTGTAAAAAACTTACAAGATTCCTTGCTGTTAATTACTGAACCAGCAACTGAAACTTGTACTGTACAGGTATTCCTCTACTTATTTTCCCATTTAATTGATCTCTGATTTTGTTCCCCAAGTTGTTTTGAGAGCTTTTTTCAGTGTTAACTTCAGACTCATCAAAGTTGTCATAGTATCTGCCTATTCTTTCACTGAGTACTATGTATAAACTGACACAACTGGACTGGTTTGAACAATAAATTCTGCTTTAATAGATGTAATAAATGTAATAATTATTGTCTCACTACCAAGCCTGCTGCTTGATAAATCTTTCATACTCATCCAAACTTATACCCTATTCAGACTACACTCTGTTGCGATCGGTTGCGATGTAATCGGTTGTAATCCAAAACTGATTACTCCCGATCGCAATCAACGAACGCATTCAGATCAACACAAACTTTACATTCTAGGGCCTAGGCCTCCGGTGGCTAGGCCTATGTTGACTGACCTCAGCCAAACAGTGCCTGTAGAATTCGTTGTGATTCGTTGCGATCGGATTCCGTGGTAATCGGGAGTAATAAAGATTGTAGCACCCAATCGCAACGGGTAACAATTGCGATATCGATTACATATCGACTACTATTGGTGAGCTTTTACACACGATTTTACTTTGCAATTGGGTGTCGCAATTGCTACAACCAATCGCAATGCGATGCTAGTCTGAATGGGGTATTAGCTTCAGAGCTGGAGTCAGTACTTTTTCTTACCCAACCAAATTTACAGTGTAGCTTCATAGTATGATTAAAGTACAAAATACACTCAGTGTTGCATATTGCTCTCCATGTTCACCAAACAACAAATTCAAATGTAGAAAAGTGTTATGAATTTCCTTCAGGTTTTATCTTGATGAAGTAAGTTGGCAAAGTCAGGCTTTGCATCTTGGAGATGTGATGATAGAGTTTTAAGAAGTGTTGGTGAACAACTCTTCAGTTGCCTCAGAAGTGATGTCTTTTCCCCCTGAATAGTCAAAAAGCAATGGTTTCCAATTTGCTTATTACTCACAATAAGATTTTTTATGATACTGAACATAAACTGATGTAAAATTAAATCCAGCAATAATCATGCAATGCTTCAACTAAATCAGTGATTCCATATTAAAGAGAGACAGTTGTGTGTAAAAAATGTGTAATACACATTAGGCTTAACACGCAGATCCAAAATTACCATCGGTCAACTGAACTTGATACCAACCAAACGATTTTATTCATGCCTCAAATAATCACCACCAAAAAATGAATTATTCCGCTAAACACCACTCTCTAAATCGTACTCGGCTTTTATTAGAGATATATTCATTTTTTTCAACAAACACTGTGGTGCTTAATAGAGAGTATATTAATGTTAATAAGAAACTAATAAACCAAATTTTTTTCGCAAACTTAATAATACATTTGTTACAAGATATGAAACAATAATACATGGTACCAATAAGAATAAGTTTACAGAACACTTCATTGATAAATTGAATGCACCTGACACTAAAGACTACATATATAAATTTAACTCTTACCTGATTAACTTCAACAAAAAATTCTGTCAGCAATGATAAGAGCATGGTTGTCTGCTCGTTTACATCACCTTCCTTCACATTGTCATGGTGATTCTTGACATTTGATGTGGAATATGAGCCATCTGATTTAGGAGTATCTGTAGCATCTGTTGTTGTGGCCTTGTTCTCTTCTTTAGCAGTTCCATTATCCTGAGCACTGTAAGATTCTTTATCTTCAGGACCTGTTGACTTCTCTATTCCTACAGCTACTTTGGTTGAATTGGATGTACTTGTTGATTTTAATGTTGACAAGATGGAGAGAAGAAACTTGAATAACTTGGAAACTGAAAACAGCAGGAAATAAAAGAGAAAATAAATAAACATATATTTTAAGAAAGCAGCTGGCTCAGTCGGATAAGCTGGTGGTAGACACTGTGTGCGTGCTGAACCGTGGAGATCTCTTCATCATCACTGATCAGCACTGTTCTCTTGTGTTTCAGCTGTAGGGCTGAAATGCATCTTTCGGATGAGACGTTGGTCCTGTGTGCAAAAGAAAAAAACAGAACACAGTACACTCTTCAGGAAAGAGTAGGAGATTGTCTCCCGGTGTACTGCCCAATTCACAATCAGAAGGGTTTCCCTTGTTGTGTATCACACAGAATCCAATCTCCATTACTTATATGTAAAGATACTAATTATATGTATTCATCTTGAATTATATTTTGAATTGTAGAGTTTGTATCTCACAAAAAGATGCAGATTAACTTTCACCATTTTTGAGGGGAAGGCAAATCAGAATAACAGGTATATATCTGGAGAGCCCCTACCCACCTCTGCCAAACCAGGTGATGTACTGAGGTGATATGATGACAGTGTATTTTAGCATAGAAAAAAACAAGCTACTATATACCTTGTTCATCATCACCCATATCTGAGTTAACAAGCAACACTTGAAGAATTGATACAACGGATGAAAGTGCCCTCTCTCTTCCAATTATGGTTACAACATCCTCTTCACATATTGTTTCAAGATACTCATAAAGAATTGGGAAAACTTTGCTGCAACATTCCACTGCAAGAGAAAGCGAAACAACATGAGTTAATGTAAAATAAATAAATAACAAAAATCAAATTATTGCAATTATTGGATTATGAAGAACAAGTACATTATTTAACAAAAGCAAGGATAAGCCACAAAACTTATTTTCAGTGGGGTGGGGTTTCCTTCTGGTGGTGATTAGGGAAACAACCCTCTATTTTCTGAAGAGTTTACTGCATTTTTTAACATGCACATGGGTCATTTTGCACACAGGACCAATGGCTTAAATGTCTCATCCGAAAGACGGTGCATCGATGCGTTATTGAAACTGGCATTTCAGCCCTCCAGCTGAAACACAAGGACAGCAGTGATGGGAATTGAACTGGGCACCAAGAGATCTCCACGAATCAGTGCACACACAGTGGCTGCCACCAGCTATTAAAAGTCATTTAATTTAGAGATTGCTTTGGAAAAAAGGAAAATTATAAAGTTTTTTTTTAAATATATAACATGCAACAAGACACTTGGTTAATGATTATTAATTTGATTATGACAAGAAGGCTTACCTAAAACTCTTACTCCTTCTTGCTCTGTTGAGAGGATCTGTAAGCAATGCAACAGCATATCATGACATTCTTCTTTCTCTTTCCTGTACAAAATACAACAAATTAAAATATATAACATCATTATATTTAAATATGCTGAGTCAATATACATGATATTGATGCAACAGTTTTACACATGCATGGCTAAAGGTGATCTCAGATGAAGACATGATAATATGAAGCTGCTTTATTTGTATTATGCACAACATACAAGAATGACATTTTATTGTAGAAGTGGGAACGGTTTGGTTTCCCAACCTCAAGGTCGGGTTTTCAATCCCCTTGCTGTGAATTTCGCTTGTGTCCTTAGGCAAGGCACTTTATCTACATTGCTTCTCTCCACCCAGGAGTATAAACAGGTACCAGGTAGGGTTAAATGCCAAAATGCGCTGATGTAGCTGCTGCAACTTTATGGAACAGTTTGTGTTCCATAGGCGTCTAATCCAATGACCGGGGGTAGAGGACTTGTTAGCATTAAGCGCTATATAAATATAACATATTATTATTATAGTATGCGTTACTTTCTATACCTGACTTGTTTATTAGCTTCCACCACTGCCTGGATAAAGTTGCTGTTGCTGAGCGAGACTAAAACATCCTGATCAGAATCCAGAAGAACGTCAAACAGACAAGAAACATTGAATAACAGTTCACCTGAAAAGAGACTTGCAGCTTAGACATAAGCAGAATTTTTACTGTGATCATGCATGTAGTTTATTTGACACAAACATGTGCCATGTCTAAATATGGTCATGACATCAAATCATGACCATATATAGGCACATCTTGACTATATATGGGCATACTGTACAAAAGTGTTTTTTCAAAGAAAATTTGATAATCTGGAAAGAGATTAATTGAAAGACAATGTATACATCAATTTGACTTTACCAGAAATGGAACAATATAATTTTTAAAGACAAAATTTACACAACAAAAATGGCAAAATATTTTATATTTAATGTTTACAACATTATTATTTTGTACTTCAATGATTTCTTAATGATTTTTTTATTAAATAATTTTAAATGTTTGAAATATTTTTTATTATTTTTGCAGTATGCATAATGGGCCCTACATATCATCAGTTATATTTATTCTGATCTCTTGATAGAATATATAATTAAAGCCTGAATACTCCAACACTTTAATTTCCTAACATTAACCATCCATTTCCAACCAACCACTATTCCTATAATTTTACCTTCTTACACCTTTTCAACCTGATCTTCATCATTTACAATAATTTATTAACTAATAACTGAAGACTATAAAATATAATAAAAACCACATATAGATGTAGTACTCACTGTTTGTAGAGCTAAGTAAAATAAATGTAAGCGTTTCTAGGCTGGAATTTTGTTTTATTGCGGTTAGCCAGGGTTTGGCTGTAGTTTGGTCAGTAATGCAGGCGTGCAAGAGCCTTGAAACTTCAACGAGTGTAGGTGGATCACGGCCTTCTAGCAGGGCTAACACCAAGTCTCTGTTGAGTGAACAAGATCTTAAAATATTTCACTTAGGAATAGACACATCATATGCAAAGACATAAAATAAAATACATCAAAATACAAATAAAAATTATATAAAATTTGAGGAAAATCATTGAACAAGGATTTAAAATAGTTATAATAACTTAGAAACAATACTGGTAAATACGCTAAAGCCAGACACACACTGTGTAAAGCAATTCCATGAGACTGCAACAAGATGCATGCGACAGATAGTTTTTAATGATGGTCTACTCTGCCACCAATCTGAGTTGCATTTTAAAGAGCTTACAGCCAAAATGGATATTATCATTTTCAACATAATCCATAAATCATTATTGTTATTGTTATTGAGATTATTACTATATTTATTGTTATGATTATTATTATTACTATCATCATGTATCTATAATTATTCAAAAGATTGTTTGTTTGTTTTATTTCATGCTCACATAAACATTACATAGAAAAAATTTACAAACCAAAAACATTCAAAATAAACAGAGGAAAACATCAAAAAGGTAAGAGATCAGACAAGAAATACACAATTATATGCATCAGAATTTAAAGAAAGCAGGTCAGAGGGAGCATTGGATAACCCTTTAAACCCGAAGACTTGTTTCCAAAGGAGTCCAAAAAAACAAATGAAGCAAAAATTAAAATAAAATAATAAAAAAGTAAAAAAAAAATTTAAAAAATAAAATAAATAAATTCAAAAATAAATAAATTAAAAATTAAATTAAAAATTAAATAAATTATAAATAAATAAAAATATAAATATATAGACACCAAAAATGGAAAGCAATAAAGAATTTTATTAAAACTGCACAATTACAATGATTATATTTATAATATTTAAAAATACAATTATTCTTTCAACTTTTATTGCCAAAAACAAAAACATACAATTGGCAATAGGACATGAAAAAAATATACACAACTTTAGTCAAGTTTAACCACCTTTACAGAGAACACAATTACACAATTAATTATTATCATTTCTATTATCATAATAATAACAACAACAACAACAAAACATAAAATGAACGTTACTCCGAATAAAGAGAGGGAGGCCATGTTTCAACGTTTCGACCTTTATTGGGTCATCATCAGGAATGAGAAAACTTAGGCAGTGATTACAAAAAATGCTACAATATTTAAATGAGGGGATTAAAAGCTAGCAATGGTGACTAAGGATAATCACCATTGTCACATTATACATATAGTATCAGATTTGTTGCTGAATCATGGAGCTGAAGCTTAACCAGGAAAATTGTGGTATTCTTTAATATTTTGCAATTGTTTTGTTAATTGCCTGTTTGCTCACACCACCAGGATTCTGTACATACCAACAACATATGTTTGGATATGTGTATATACTGCAAAAATCCAGTTTTTAGAACTCAAAAATTCTAGGCTGAACAAGCTTTATTTAAAGGTTAGTAGAACAGCAAGCACCCATCTTAGCAAGCAGGACGTTGGCCCTTTGTTTTAACTCATCCAAGCCTAGCACTCTACACTGCTGTATTGTAGGCCTATAACAATGGCTTCTCAAGATAAGAAACAAGCAGCTTGTTCAACTCCAACAAAGAATCAAGTTAATGACCTAAGCAATGCTGATCAATCTATCTCATGTCATCCTGCACCAAAAATTACTGCATCAAGAATACTATGCATTAAAGGATGTAAGCCTGTCTCTTATACACATCTAGATGTGTATAAGAGACAGAAGCAAGGATAAGCCACAAAACTTATTTTCAGTGGGGTGGGGTTTCCTTCTGGTGGTGATTAGGGAAACAACCCTCTATTTTCTGAAGAGTTTACTGCATTTTTTAACATGCACATGGGTCATTTTGCACACAGGACCAATGGCTTAAATGTCTCATCCGAAAGACGGTGCATCGATGCGTTATTGAAACTGGCATTTCAGCCCTCCAGCTGAAACACAAGGACAGCAGTGATGGGAATTGAACTGGGCACCAAGAGATCTCCACGAATCAGTGCACACACAGTGGCTGCCACCAGCTATTAAAAGTCATTTAATTTAGAGATTGCTTTGGAAAAAAGGAAAATTATAAAGTTTTTTTTTAAATATATAACATGGTTATTGTACTAGCTTTTAATCCCCTCATTTAAATATTGTAGCATTTTTTGTAATCACTGTCTAAGTTTTCTCATTCCTGATGATGACCCAATAAAGGTCGAAACGTTGAATCATGGCCTCCCTCTCTTTATTCGGAGTAATGTTCATTTTATGTTATTTAAACATAATCAGTGCATCTGTTGGTTTTTGGAAAACAACAACAACCTTTGAACTAAGTATTCTCACCTGAGCTGTTGGTTCTCAGCAAAGTCCTTTCTCATTTGGTCGATGCATGCCATGTTGGCTAATATTCCCACACAGATTTCCTAGTAACCGAAAAAAAAAAATTAGATATATGTTTTTTTAAAAAAATTATTTCATTGCAAATTAGAATAATAATACACAGGTAGATTTTTTTAAGGTCTATAAAAAACAGCTTGTTTACTAATTTGCATACAATATATCAAAGTTTAAGCTAGTTTTTGGTAGTTAAAATTAGTTACATTGTCCTGGGTATGACATTAAAATGCATCCACTTGAGGTGCCAGTGTCTAACTGGCAACCCCATCTAAGGCGTTAATGTCCTTTGGGTGGGAGGGTAAATGGTCACCCAACAGCAATAAATAGCTGAACAAAGGGTGGATGAGCTCCTCGAAGTCAATAGCCAACCATGCTTAGTTTAAGGAGAAGGATTAGCATGTCTTTAGGGTTACTTTTATGTATTGCTTTCCTGGTCGTTTCTTTTTTCATGTTAAGCGCATAAAAGTCTCCATAATATGCGCTTTATATTAAAGTCAACCATTATTATTATTAATAGGCAGTTTTCGCCGCACGACGGTAACCTTAACATTAACGGATGACATCATAATTTATTCATCTTGCGTTGCGGAGTACGTTAATTTCAGGATTTTACGTGCTCGACGTACGTTAGTTACGGGTTTGCACATGCATATTTCAATTTGTTTACAAAAGGGGCAGAGCTATCGCACTGCATGTTGGGTACTAACGTTAAAGTTAAGGTTAACGTTGTGCGGCGAAAACTACCTAATAAATAATTATGCAAACAGAAGTGAGGTTAACAAGTGGATGGCATTACCGTGGTTCTTGGTGAATTTGTTTTGGCCACTACGTTAATCAACATATCAGCAGACTTCCACTCATGGAGAAATGCCACTACTTCCTGTAAAGCAACCACAAACATGCATCATCATCATCATTTTCAAAATAATTTTCTTTTTAATAAACAAATAATAAGAACAAAATGATCTTCTAATTTAATTAATTTATTTAGCATCCATTCAAATACAAAAAATATCATGAAGATTGATATATAGGCAGAGGCTATTATGGGCGACCAAACTCATCCTGCCTCAAACCTATTCCAATTGATGCGCAGTGGTCGACGTTTTCGTTCATTGAAAGCCACTAAGGCTAGATTCAGGAATAGTTTCTTTCCTGTTTCTTTCTTAGAGCAATTAGGGCTCTAAATTGTAGGTAAATGTTTCATACTTTTGCACTTTGTTTCTTTGTTTGTGTTTGTTCTGCCTTTTGGAATGTGTTTTTACCACAGAGCAAAACAAATTTCTATGTTTTCCTGAACAATGACAATAAAATATGATTGATTGATTGATTGATTGATTGATATAAAAAAGAGATTTTAAAAAAAAATTGCTTGTTTAGATGAGAAATCGATGCATGGATGAGCAATAAAATGTCTATGTTAGAGTAAGTATTACGTTCTTGATATGTTTTTTCATGTTTATGGTAAGCGCAGGTCTCCATAAAATGCGCTCTATAAGTTGACCATAATATTATTACAGTATTCTTAAATCAACAAATACATTAAGCTATTTTCAATGGGGTCCGAAGCAGAACGCCAGGGTAAATATATGCGAATAGTCAATAAAATATTAATGCAGTACAATAATGATAAATATAGACAATACACTGTAGGTCAAAATTTATTTAGAACAGAGCCGTAGCTTGGTGGCTAAGATGCATGCCTTCCAATCCTAGGGCCCTGTGTTCAAAGCCAGTCACTGCAACCTTTTTTTCTCATGACTAGAAAATGGCTATGTTCCCACACGGCAGCAAACGGTTAGCAGAATCCGGATCCTGCTAACCATTAGCTGCCGTGCGTCCATACGAGAAAATCCCGATCCAGATACCAAGAATATGATGATCGAATCACTGGCCAATAAGAAACTGGAAATTGTAAACGCGTACGTGTGATTGGTTGATGATAGAAACGCGCTCAACTTGCTAACCGATAGCGCTTGCAAACCGTTAGCGGTATCCGGATACTACTAACGGTTAGCGCTAGCCGATTGGGTGTTCTCATGCAGGTGCTAACGGTGAGCGCTTAGCGGTTAGCTCCCGATCCGGATACTAGGGCTCTTGAGAGAACCAGGCTAATAACTGCAGTCCCTAAGGCTCATAAAGAGACTTAAGCTGGCCATTCACTGCTTCGTATGACGGTCGTACGATGGTCGTACGATGGTCGTACGATGGTCGTACGATGGTCGTACGACGAATCAAACTCCACTCCCTGTGAGCGCTAGACGATGTGATGCTGTTTGTTGATGGCAGTCTGAACGGATCGTCATTAAAAGCGATTCTTTCGGTTGTGGCGCTGTGTTCTCTATAGAATCGCGTTGCCGATGACCGTCGAGCGCAGTGAATGTCTGGCTTTAGTACATAAAGCATCATTCAATCCAATGAGATGCATGTATACATGCGTCTCATTCCATCCAATGAGATGCACGTATGCTTGCTTTTGGGTGTGAATTAAAAAATAAAAAACTAATAAGAAATTTTCAGTTGACCTCATTGGCTGACATATCCCATAATTTGCATAGCTCCTCCTCTAGCTCTTGGTCCATTTCAATTCCATTTGAATCTGGATTCTCCTCATCATCTCCCTTTTCACTAGACTCTTTTTCAACACCCTAAACAAATTTAATTAAAAACACATCATTAAAATAATATCTCTATATTTCACTTATAACTAACTACCGTACTACAGAGGCGCATTTCAACATCTAAGGATGAATATACAGTAATAAACAAAACCATCACAGCAAATGTGCTTTCAAATTTCTTTTAAAGGAAGAGACATCAATAAGATTGTGTGAAAAATGATAATCAAATTCAGCTTTAATGAAGTATAGGGATATCTTCTCATACTTCCAAACAAATTGGCAGGTCTTCCGAAATAAAATCCTTAATGATGGAACCAAACGGACGCAAATTGATGAAAAATACAACACAATTTAAGAAAAGAACTAAGAATTTAATTGTAAACATGTTTCGGGTGTTCTCTCTCACCCATCATCAGTACAAACTGAAAGGCAAAATAAATGGAAAGAAAAATCTTGTCATTCTTAACTAAGAGTATTTATACAAAGAAATGAATGAATATTAATTAGGGAAAACAAACTGTTACCAATTAAGGTAACGTAACGATCGTTCTAGATAATCATATGCAAGGTGTATAGAACATCTTGCATACATTAGTGGTGTATGCTAATTGAAAAGTTCAAACATCAATAAGACTTTTTATGGAGGAGGAAAATTGCATTTTAGAGTTCAGGACCATTTACAAAATCAGTATTTGAGCAAGTGCTTGTACAGTACGATCCACAGAATGAGAAGACTGTATTGTAGCCTGGGTTCCAGGCCCTAAATTTGGGTTACACACTCTTTATTGCACTTTGTGCACATCATACCTAATTTAATTGGCATCCCATACTCGATTTCTTTTCTTTCGGATTAGGGCCTGGGCAAACGCTGCATGATCATTCATGTGTACGACTTCCCACATCAAATTTCATGTGGGATTTCGTATGCATGACTGATTTTGTAAATCATGTGATTGGCTTACTTCATGCATGTTAATTAATCTTGGTAAATTTTCAAAATTGAAGATGTGGATGTCTCGACTAGGACTAAGCTAGACCAGCTCTTTTGCCTACCTACTTTAATTAAAACAGTTAGTAAATAGTTCTGGCCTGCCAAACGACTATGGACTAATAACCGTAGTACTTACAGAACCCTGCTAACCGCTAGCTACACAGATTTAGACCTAGGGTAGAACATTGTTAAATAGGTAGGCCTGATGTAATATTAAGTAAGAACATAAAATAGGCCAAGACTACTACTAGACTCCAGAGCCATACTCCTGGCACTGTCCAGAATTAGGAAAATAATAAAAAATAAGAGACTTGTGGCAAGTCTAACTGCATTGTAGAGTAGTTATGTAATGATGTTTTTTTGCTTACAATACTGTACAATAACTTGCAGTGTTATTACAAAGAACATAAAATATGAACACAGATCATCAATAGGATAGGACCACTGTTGTCATGGCAACCAAATTATTACTGGTGAAGGAAATGCTTAAACATTTTTACAAAAAGAAATAATGAACCAACCTTTAAGAGATTCATAAGGCTAGCCAATACCCACTGTTTGCTGAAGACGGTACTTCCTATTATGTCAGCTCGTAGGACATCTTGGTCAATCAGTTCCTCTGGCAGTGGAGATGGATTGCGATCTGATATTTATAAATAAAATAATTGACATTAACAGAGACAGTATAGCAACAACTGCAAAAATATCACAAGCATAACA